ATGCTAGGTGAGCATTTTACCAACTAAATTTCATCGCCAGCTCCCCATCCCATGTTTTTGAGAAAATTCTCTGGTGATGATTGTATTATGCGCTAAGTCTAAGTTCTAAGGCTGAGAATATGATTTATTAGAGATGAATTATAACCATAAATTGATGATTTATTTATGTATCTGAGTGCTTAGAAAGAAATGAGAGCAAAGATTTAAGTACACTTGCCTCAAATTTAGATCCAAACTTTGGGTATGACTTCTTATTTGAATCTAAAATTGGATATTATTCAAGGCCAAATGGGTCGTAAGCATTAATGTAAAAAATAATTTTCTTTCATTAAAATAATGTCTTATGTTTTTTCCAACTATGTTGAACATATCCTGTATTCACATTTTCACTGATAATTCGGTTTTAAAAACAAATCAAATAAGTCATAATTCTTTACAAGAGTAGGAAAATGTCACTTTTCACACAAAACAAGGGACACAGACATAGTATATTTACTTTTGGACTTTTTGTTTTTCAAACCCCAGAGTCTAGCTGCTGAAGAATCCGAGCTAAGATTTCGACAATTAACAAAAGAATACCAGGCCCTCCAGAGAGCATATGCCCTCTTGCAGGAGCAGACTGGGGGCATCATAGATGCTGAAAGAGAAGCCAAGGTAAGTGTGGACCTGCAAGAGGGTCTGGAGTGAAGTTGCAGGTGTTGCATCTCAAAAGCACCAAGAACATTAAAATGTCATCTCAAAAGCACCAAGAACATTAAAATGTCAGTGGCACAGCTTTCTGTGTGCCTTTTTATCCTCCAAAGCTACTGTTTTTTATTTAATTCCTACAAACTTCAGATCTAAACACATAAGGACCAGCACAGATCAATGCTTTTGTTCCTTTAAAGATAGTGGGCTGTGTGCTTATTATTTTCCATACTTTAAAACTTACATTTTTCTAACCCATATTGGATTTTTGATGATCCATTTTTTTAAGTTCCTTGCTTTAAAAATAGTTATTTCACTTTTCAAAAGTACTGATTAATCCATTTTCTCTTCTTAATTAACTAGTGTAAAACATTGCATTTACAGCTCACTAAGAATTTCACAAAGTTTGAATGAACCCTTGTGTCAGCTACCCAAGGAAGATATTTTTGTAAGAGAAGAATTTAAGTCCTAGAGAGATTAATGGATTTGCCCAAGGTCACATAGCTAGTATGTGCTAAAACTTGGATGATTGCTCAATTATTATTGTGTCTACTTTCTTTCTAGAATATCATAATTGTCACTCATAAGCCTTTCTCCAAAAGAAGGAAGGACAGAGGAAGAAAGGGAGGAAGGGAAGGAGAGAGGGTGGGAAGCAAGGAAGGAAGGTAATAGGAAGAAAAGAAGGAGGGAGGAAGGGAGGAAAGAAGGAGAGGAGTGGGGAGGATAGGAGGAAAGAAGGAGGGAAGAAATTATGTATTCATTCATTCAGTGGAAGTCAAATGATTTACCTGGGTCCTGATGCTAGGACATGAACCCAGCCTTTAAGCTGAGGAATCAGAGCCATCAGAAGAACCTGCCTTATGAACTTTGGCAAGTAACCAGAAGTATCATGTCTCTGCAGTACTGTTGCCTACTTTTCTTTGTGAAGAGATCACAACATGCTGGGGGTACCACAGCAACCACTCTTATTCATTTAGAAGGTAGATAGGTAATACAAGTCTATTTTTAATTTATAGCACAGACACACACACACCCATGGGGATAATGTTAAAGACCAAACTTTGATGTGGAACAGACAGTCAAGCTATCATGAGAAAGAGATGCTCTCTTTTGCTCATGTATTTTCCTCAATTCTATGATATTTGAGGTTCTCACTGTCAGCATTTGTTAACCTTCATACTGCATAGTACTGTATATACATACATATATAATGAGTAGTAAAACAAAAAGTTTTCAATTTATATTTAAGTACTGAAGCACAATGTTGGCTCTGAAAGAATGAATCGAACCTGAGGAGGAAAATAATAAATACTTCCCGCCCCCATAAAAGAAGCTCATTTAGATAGAGAGCAGCGGTGAGTTACCACAGAGGATTTGGCAAACAGGAATGTCACCTGAGGTCAGAGGTGAAGTCTAGATGGAGTCTGGAGTACGACAAGAACCCTTTCCTGGCTAGCTGGAGAGTGTGCATGTTAGTGTGATGATGACAAGTGGAACCACAAGGAGATTTATTCAAGACACTAGATCGTCTTTATCATAAAGGCAACTTAGAAGAATACTTTTGTTTTTGTAAACCCCTCCCCTGCACAAACGAATTTGCTGAGCACTAGTGAAGGACATGGTCATGTTACTCATTGAACTCTGGAATTTTGATCTCACCAGGCACAAGAGCAGCTCCAAGCAGAGGTGCTAAGATACAAGGCCAAAATCGAAGATCTGGAGGCAACGTTAGCTCAGAAAGGGCAGGTAGGTGCTTGGTTGCTAGCTCTTCTGCAGGTGCATCTGGTTCAGGCTGTCTCTCCTCTGGCTCACCCCATGCATGGGCCACACCCAGGACATGGCTTGGCTCACCACAGTGACTTTTCTCAAACTGTGTCAGAATGTAAAATATTCCTGTCCCCAGTGTTATTCTCCCATAGTGCAAACCCAGCCACAGTGGTGAGTGAAGGTGGGCAAGAGAGAGGCCAAAGGGAGGGGTGCCCAGTCTGGACAAGGCTTGGAGCTGTCACAACTGCTTAGGCAGTACTTCCATCCCCTAGCGCGTTCTTTGCCTCTGTGCTCCATATATGGTTCTGCATTGTAATGTTTTCCATTCATATGTATTGAGCCCGTGTGCATTCTGACCTGTTTCACTTTTTTTTGCCTGTGTGGTCACTTCTGAGTCCCCAGAAGGCTGGTCCTGGATTATTCAGACTGGAAAAAGCTAGAGATAGTAAGTGGCAATCAATGGAAAGAGGGCTAATTTGTCTTTGCAACTTTGGCCCCAGAATCCTTAAAGAAGTAGCTGGCAAGGGTGGGTGTCATTTACCAGAACCAGTTACTCTGTGCAGGCAAACTGGGTGGAAAGAACACAGCTCTGGCCAACTAGTTTGAGGACACATACTCCTTCCTGGCACTCTGAAATGCTGACTTCGCGATATTCTTTGTCAAACAGGATTCACACTGGGTAGAAGATAAACAACTTTTCATTAAGAGAAACCAGGAGCTTTTAGAAAAGGTATGTTGGGCGCACCACCCTAGCGGGGCAAAGGAAAAAGTGATGATCCAGGAGCAGCAGGGGGTGCTCTCAGGAGTGGCACAGGGGCCAGGGAAGGGGAGGCTTTTCCTCCACTGCTCTGTCCTCTGCTGCGCGCACAACTGCATCCCATTACTGCCATCACCATCCT